CTGGACAGGGGCCGGGTCAGGGGTAGGGGGGTCAGTTGGCGTGTCGGATGCACCCTCTGTTCCCTGCAGTGTCGGTGGTGATGGGCGTCCCCAGCGTGCGGCGCGAGGTGCACTCCTATCTGACGGACACGCTGCACTCACTCATCTCAGAGCTGAGTCCGCAGGAGAAGGAGGACTCGGTCATCGTGGTGCTGATCGCCGAGGCGAGTGGGCCGGGCGCAGGCCCGGGGAGGTGGGGGTGGGCACACTCAGAGGAGGGCACCTGCACCAGATAACAAGGAGAGATGGAGACGGCAACATTCCAGAGGGGAATGCTATCAAGACGGTGACTGTCACTCACAGATTTATCGAGATAAAAAGTTAAAAGGGAACAGCCCTGGCTGCTGTGGCTCAGTGGATTGTAAGCCCACCTGTGGACCAAAAGGGCACTTGGTTCGACTGCAAGTCAGGACACATGCCCGGGTCGCGGGCCAGGACCCCCGTTGGGGGGCCAGCGAGAGGCAGCCTGTCCACGTATCTCTGCACACTGATGTTCCTCTCCCTCCTTTTCTCCCTCCCTTTCCCTCTCTCTAAAAATTAATAAAATCTTTTTTAAAAAGTTAAAAGGAAAGAAACATTTTAGCGCCCCCTTGTGGAACTGCCATTTGCCTAGTGCGCCCTGCCTGTCCTGCCCCAGGTACCTCCCCGAGGGGTTTTTCCTGAGGCACCTGTGGCAGCTGGGCCCAGTGTATTTGCCCTCAGCATAGGGAACTCTATCCCTCCGTGAGGGGGTCATCGGACGCCCAGGCCCCTTAAGTCCCACTTAAGGGGGGCGCTTGGTCTCCCCACAGACTGACCCACAGTACACCTCGGTGGTGACAGAAAACATCAAGGCCTTGTGAGTACTGGCGGCCGATCAGGCTGGTGGAAGGAGGGCCCTTTGTGGGATGTCGGGTAGCTCCTACCTCCTCCACAAGACAGTGCCCTCCCTGGGGCGAGGGCGTCCCCGTCGGCCGAAAGGCAGGGCTCAGTGCTCGCGTGGAGGGGGCCCCGCCCCGCCCCCGAGCCCCAGCGCCCCAGCGCCTCAGCAGGCTGGGTGTGGTGTGGGCCATGCCCCTGCTCCAGGCCCTGGGGGCTGCACACCACTGGGCCTTTCTGTCCGCAGGTTCCCCATGGAGATCCGTTCTGGGCTCCTGGAGGTCATCTCCCCCTCCCCCCACTTCTACCCTGACTTCTCCCGACTCCGAGAGTCCTTCGGGGATCCCAAGGAGAGAGTCAGGTACCAGCGCCGCCCGCTCCGGGCGCCCCAGCAATGCTGAGAGCCCGGTCCGTGGGTTGCGGTGCCTCTGCCCCTCCCTCGGAGGGCCCCTGCCCGGGGGTGGGGGTCCCACCGCACGGGGCGGGGGCTCTGAGCGCCTGCGGCCCCCATCCCTGGCCCACAGGTGGAGGACCAAACAGAACCTCGATTACTGCTTCCTTATGATGTACGCGCAGGCCAAAGGCATCTACTATGTGCAGGTCAGCACGGACACCCTGCTCTGCCCGCCGCCCCCGGGTCCGGGCTGGGCCCGCGGGCTGCCCAGCCCCGTGCCTGTCCTGAGTCCCAGCCCCCTCTGCCCCTCACTGTGCAGCTGGAGGACGACATAGTGGCCAAGCCCAACTACCTGAGCACCATGAAGAACTTCGCACTCCAGCAGCCGTCCGAGGACTGGATGATCCTGGAGTTCTCCCAGCTGGGCTTCATCGGTGAGCTCCCCGCCCCTGCCCCGCGACCTGGACGGAGCCCCTCGGCGCCACCCTCCTCCGCCTCTCCGTCACCATCCCCCCACCTTGCCCCAGGCCCCAGGCCCCAGGCCCTGTACCCGGCAGGTCATGTGAGGAGCCTTTGCCTGGAGTGACCACTGCAGCCCCATCTGGCCTGGTCCCACCTGCCCTCAGCCACCGTCACTGACCGGCCCCTGGTGCCCACGCCTGCCGGCAGCTGGCCTCAGGGTTCGCTGTGGGACCCCCCACCGGCCCCTGCAGGGGTGAAGAGGAAGTAGGGCAGGCCAGAGCTGCCCGCTCAGCACCGCCCCCTCCCCACCAGGGAAGATGTTCAAGTCGCTGGACCTGAGCCTGATTGTGGAGTTCATCCTCATGTTCTACCGGGACAAGCCCATCGACTGGCTCCTGGACCACATTCTGTGGGTGAAGGTCTGCAACCCTGAGAAGGACGCGGTGAGCAGGACTCACAGAGGCGGCCTGGTGGCGTAGCCCGCGGCCTCCAGCGTGGCCGGGTCTGTGGCACGCGCCTGGCTCAGGAGGCCGAGGCCCTGTCCTCGCAGGCAGGGCGTGAGTTCAGACCTAGAATGTTGCCCTCCCTCCGCAGAAGCACTGTGACCGGCAGAAGGCCAACCTCCGTATCCGCTTCAAGCCGTCCCTCTTCCAGCATGTGGGCACGCACTCCTCGCTGGCGGGCAAGATTCAGAAGCTGAAGGTGGGCCGCACCCCGCACGAGCCCCGCCGAGAGCAGGCAGAGGCCCGGCTGGGGCGGGCCAGGGGCCAGCGGGGCGGGGCCAGGCCCCACTCTAGCCCCGCTGTCCCTCCCGCACTTCAGGACAAGGACTTTGGAAAGCAGGCCCTGCGGAAGGAGCATGTGAACCCCCCCGCCGAAGTGAGCACAAGCCTCAAGACCTACCAGCACTTCACCCTGGAAAAGGCCTACCTGCGCGAGGATTTCTTCTGGGCCTTCACGCCTGCTGCGGGGGACTTCATCCGCTTCCGCTTCTTCCAGCCCTTGCGTCTTGAGCGGTTAGTGACAGTACCCACAGGCTCCCTGGGCGGGGCGGGCAGGGTGGCTACCACGGCACAGGCCTTGCCACACATTTCTGTGACCCCTCCCAACAAATTCCCCAAGCCTACCATGCCTCAGTTTCCTTATCTGAAGAGTAGGGGGCATCATGGTAGCTACTTTGTAAAGACTATGTCAGGCAGGACATAGGAGCTCAGTGACATTGCTCGTCGCCATCGTCCTGTGAGGAAGGCCCTGTGCCTTGCACAGCCAGCGCCTGCCCCTGGAGGCCGGCTGGGCCCGCTGCCCCAGGCCCAGGCCTGGCCTGCACTCTGCCGGCCACGCTCCCGCGCAGCGCCCGCCCTGCAGCAGCTCACAGGCCCGCCTGGCCGCAGGTTCTTCTTCCGCAGCGGGAACATTGAGCACCCAGAGGACAAGCTCTTCAACACTTCCGTGGAGGTGCTGCCCTTTGACGTGAGTGTGGCAGGGTGTGGTTGTCAACAGAGGCCAGCCTCCCCCACAGCCCCTGGCTTCAGCCCCTTGATTCTGCCCCCAGAGCCCGCAGTCAGACAAAGAGGCCCTGCAGGAGGGCCGCTCGGCCACTCTCCGGTACCCGCGGAGCCCTGATGGCTACCTCCAGATAGGTGAGTGGGTCCGGGCGGGCAGAGGCGCAGGGAGAGGCTGGACCGAGCAGAGGTCCGGGGGCAAGCTCTCAGTGCTGTCCTCCCCCAGGCTCCTTCTACAAAGGTGTGGCTGAGGGCGAGGTGGACCCCGCCTTCGGTCCCCTGGAAGCACTGCGCCTCTCCATCCAGACGGACTCGCCTGTGTGGGTCATTCTGAGCGAGGTGAGGCAGGGCAGGGCAGGGCAGGGCACGGGGAACAAGGAGCTGTTCCCAGTAGCTGCACGGGGCCAGCTCTGCGGCTGCTGCTGACCCTGGGCTGGCTCTTTCAGATCTTCCTGAAAAAGGCCGACTGAGGGGCGGCTTCGGAGGGCTGGCCCTGAAGCCCAGGACACCAGGGGTGTCTTTGCTGCTGTCCCCAGAGGGCCAGATGTGGCCCACCCAGTCTGAGGGGTGGTTCCTGGCACCTCTCAGCAGCCTGGGGTCGCCGCTGGCCCGGAGGCCCCAGAAGCCGGTGCTGCCCGCCCGCCCGGCCGCGGGAGGAAGCGGTGGTCCCCACACTGTGCCTGAGGCTGGCCTGTGCCGCCCTGAACCATTCGCAGCCGGCTGGCTTGAGCCAGGCCGTTTCGGAAGAGCTTTTTCCTGGGCGCCCGCTGTCTGCGGCGCGAACACTGGAATGCATATACTACTTTATGTGCTGTGTTTTTTATTCTTGGATACATTTGATTTTTTCACTTAAGTCCACATATACTTCTATAAGAACGTGACTTGTAATAAAGGGTTAACAAAGTGTGTGCCTCCTGAGTGGTGCTCTGAGCCCCAGCTGGTGGGGAGAGGGGGGCAGGGGCCAGGCCATGCCACCCTGTGTCCACCTGCTGCCACCGCCGCACAGCTCCGCAGAACCTTGAGCCCATTTTCCCAGGACAGCCGGGTCTAGGTTCTGGGGCACCTTGAAGGACCTGCGTGCTCACGGATGGAGCCGGTGTGGAATCCTGGCCCCCAAAAGTCCTCATCCCTGCCCCCACAGGCTCTAGGAGGACCCTCAAGCCACCCCATCATCCATCATCCACCCTCCACCCCCAAATGCCTGAGGTGGAGCCTCTCAAACCCAAGACATCGCCCCACCTCCTGGTTCCTCCTTCACCGGTCTCAGCCTTGCTCTCGCCCACAGTTCCCAAGGCCCCTGCTCAGCCCCATCCTGTTTCCTCAAGGCACCCGGACTTTTTCTTGAAAATGCTTTCACGAGAACACTGCCCACGGCACCAGGGCAGCGTGCGCCAAACACCTCCAATATTCTGGTCGCCGGGGACCCAGTACTGACTAGAAAGGGTCCCTGAAGTCCTCTCTGAGGACCAGAGGACGAGGAATAGGGGCAGGCCTCAGAGGAAGGGAGCAGGCAAGGAGAGGGAGGAGGGGCTGTGGGACCGACCTCGGCAGACCTCGGCAGACGGTGGTGCTCTGGGGGCCAGGAGCAGGGCGGAAGAGGACGGATCTGGGACCGCATCCAGCCCTCGCTTGGGGGAGGCCCCTTTTCCTTCCTTGACCAGGCCCCCTGCCGCCACCCACCCCAGAAGCCCTCCCCGACTGCTGCAGCCCGAGGCGGGCCCTAAAGGCCCCACACCACCCGACCCTCAGAGAGCCTTGGGGGTCTGGTCACAAGGTTACGAGCACTTTAATTAGAGCCTGGGATAAGGGCGAGCATCCACCGCCGTCCTCCAGGCGGCCCGGCTCCTCTCCAGCCCCGCAGACCCGCGGTCCTCGGCCTCAGGTGCGGGGCAGCAGTGTCCCGAGGCGGTCCAGGAGCGCGGTGCGCAGCGAGGTCGGGAGGAAGTGGGCGAGCAGACCGAGCGCCGACAGCGCCACCAGCAGCCAGAGCGCGCGGGCGCTCGAGTACAGCGGGGCCAGCCTGCGGGCAGAGCTCAGCGGGGGCGGGGCGGAGCCTCGCCCGCTGGGCCCACCAGCCCCACCAGGACTTCCACCAGGGCCCCGCCCCCAGCCCGTAAAATGGTTCCACCTCAGGCCAGTTGCCTGAAGCGCCCAGCCACCCACCTCGACTGTCAGGACCCCGTCCAGTAGCCGCCTTTCCCTGCCCCGGTTCTCACCTTTGCTGCGAGGAGCGTGCGTAGCCCTGAAAGTAGCGGAGGCGCGCGTACAGGTAGGCTAGACCGCACAGCGCCGCGGCACCTAGGGGAGGGCCGGGCGGGGCAGCGTAAGCGCCTGGGTGCGGGGACTCCTGGGGTTCCAGTGCGTGCGCCCCTGCCCTGCGCCCAGACCTTCATGGAAGAAGATGCCCGCCACCCAGAGCATGGCGAGGAACAGCGGGAAGTACTCGCTGCAGTTCACTCTGCGGTGGGAGCGGGGAGACGTGAGGGCTTCCACAGCGGCCTTGGACTTAGCGGTCCAGGGCTCGCCCGCTCCCCGCCCCGCCTCGCCCCCTCCCGCCGCGCCTCACTGGGCTCGGTATATGCGCTCGAACTCCGGTGGGCCGGTGGTCAGCGGTGGCGACACGCGGAAGGTCCTGCGCGCCGAGATCACCTGCAGGGAGAAGTAGGCTGGGGGCAAAGGGAGTGGGAGTCAGGTCTGGCCACCTGACGCCCACAGCCTCCCCCGGGCCGCGCCTCCCATCTGGCCTGGCACCTTCTACTCCTGCCTCCACACTGAACGCCTCAGACTCCCCTCTCAGGGGACCTCCCGTCCCGGTCTGTTCCGGGCTTCCCTGCGTCTGTGACACTCAGTGGGAAGGCAGGGTGCAGCCCGGGCGCCCTGTGAGCACAGGGGAAGGGGATGCCAGTCACAGGGACACCTGCCGTGGGCAGGCCATTCAGACTTTCCTCCTAAGTCATTTGATTTGCAAAATGCAAGTAAATACCCAGTTCCTCCTGCCCCTCTCTAGATAGGGCCTGGGCCGGGACCCCTGTGCTTCTGCCCTGGCGTCGCGTGACCAGTTTCTCTGTTCAAGTACTTGGCCCAAATCTGACATACTTTCCCCTGCTCCCGGGGGTTGCAGCTGGGACTCTTCTTGTCCAACCCCAGGCCACGGAGGGCTCGGCCACCTTCTTTCCAGCGTGGGTGGGCTTGCCCTAGGCGATCTGCTTTGCAAGGGCCCTTCTTTTGGCCCCAGGCCAGGCCCTCACCACACACAGCCCCGGTGCTGGGTGTCCCCAGCTCTCTCCTTGCCAGCCCCGGGCCCTGGGGCCCGCGGTGCTCTGCAGGTGCCAAGGGTAGCCATGCCCACACGGTGCGGTGTCCGGGGGAGGCCCTGCAGTGCAGGATCAGGGGCTGAGGGTCAAGCTTGCTGATGTGGCTGGACATGGGGTCTGCTCGGCCCCTTCGGGCCTGTGCCCTAGGCTGTGGCTTGTCCTAGCCCATACACTGTGGTGTCCCAAGCAGCGGGGATATCTGGTCCAGGAATGTGTCCTCCGGGGCCAGTCTGGGAAGAGCACCAAGGAGGCATCTTTCGGGGCCCAAGGGAGCAAGCTTCTGCGCCGCCCAGCTCCATGGGGCCCTACCAAGGAGAGGGTGCCTTTGAAGGCAAGGCCAGGGAGTGGGGCTTTCCTGCTGGGACACCCAGAGGGGGGACGGCCGGAGAGGGTAGGACCTGGGTCTAGCAGGGCTGCCTCAGGCCATGTCCCACTTCTGTGCCCAGCACCAGACCGCCCATCCGTCCTGGCGCACATCTGCTGCCTTGAAGCCCCTGGCCTCCTCCGGGGGTTTTATGCTGGTCGAGGGGCCACCGCCTCAGCTCCATGGTGCCTGGCATGCCTGCTTCTGCCACCCCGCAGGTGTGACAAGTCCCCTGCCGTTTCTGCCTGCCCAGCAGCCCTCCTTCCTGAGGCTCTGGCCCTGCCCATGCTCAGGGCCTGTGTTCTGGGCAGAGCTGCCCCTTTTCCATGCGGCTGCTGCCCCGTCGGCCTTGGTCCCGGCCCAGGGTTTCCAGTCCGTCCTGCAGACGTCCCGTGAGGGCTTGGCCTCCCATCTGGGAACCTGTAAGCCCCTCAGCCCCAGGGTGCCCCGGCCTCCAGTCGTGGGGTCCGTGGTGGTAAAAGAGTGTGTACCCTGGAGCCGGGGCCGGAGGCCCCCCTTCTGCCCCTCTCCGGGCTGGGCCCCGCCGCTCCCTGGGCCTGCAAGGCAGAAGGCAGGCTGCGGGGGTCTGAGGTCCCCCTGCCCTGCAAATAGGAGCCAGCTCACCTTGCAGCAGGACTCCCAGGAGGGTGACAGTGGCCAGAAGAGCCACCTCGTCCTTCATGGTGGTGCTGGCGGTTCTGTCGGGCCAGTGAGTGCGTAAGAGGGCCAGCTGCAAGCTTTTATCAGCCCCCGCCTGCCCGCGGCCCGGAGGCCGGCCCAGCGGAGGAAAAGCGGCCTGCTCTCCCGCCCCTCGCAATGGAGGGGGTATGGGGGGGCGTGACCATGGCCAGAGAGAGGCTGGGCGCCTGGTCGGGCTGAATGGGCGGAAACCAGGGCCAGAGGAGTCTGGGGACCAGGGAGCCGCTGTCTGGGGCAGCCCAACCACTTCCTCCCAGGCCTTCCAGCTCCTGTCCAGGTCCTGTGCTGGCAGAGCTCCAGGTGTCCGCCTAGGAGTGCAGCTGCCACGTCACCCCTGTGTCGCCAGGCCCTGCACCTTCAGCAGGTCGCAGCTGGCCCTCTAGACCTCCCTTTGACCTGGGTCTGGTTTCCGGAAACCATAGTGTCCTGTCTGGGTGCCCGTGACCTCTGCCCCCACCGCCGCCAAGCCCCACCCGTCCTCAGGCCCACTGCCGCGGCCTCCCCGCCGCGCCGTGCCCCAGCCCCGTCTCGCCCAGGCACAGGTCAAAGGCTGCGCATGGCTTTCCAGCCCTGACCTGCTGCCCACTCATACATACCCACTTATCTCTCCCCGCCCCCCAAACGGGGCCGCTCTGTGACATGCAGCGCTGCCTGCGTGCCCCCCAAGCCACCAGCCCCCACTGGGCACAGCTGAGCGCTCGCTTTCTTCCCAGAAGCCCGCCACCCGCCGGCCTCGCCACTGCCCGGGCTCCGTGCGCGGCGGCTGTCCTGAAGGCGGCCGGGCAGCGGGGGTCGGCCCCTCAGGTAGCTGAACTCGCCCTCTCCCGGACTCTGGCCCGGGGACAGTCCCCTGCCGTTTCTGCCTGCCCAGCAGCCCTCCTTCCCGAGGCTCTGACCCTCCCCATACTCAGGGCCTGTGTTCTGGACAGAGTTGCCTCTCTCAGGACTGTGGGAAGGACATTTGAGCCAAAACTGACTCAAGGTCATGACACACAGTTCTGGAAACTTCCTTAGAACTTTAGAAAAGGGAGGAGGGAGATTACTGAAGGTCACTGGTGGCCACACACCAGCCTGAGGAGGATGGAGGCACCCCAGGGCCCCCGTGACAGGAGAGAGGCGACTCAGGTCCCAGAACCCTGGGGCCGCCCCGCCCGGACCAGCCACTCAGCCTGTCCCTGCTGCGAGGCACCTTCCCTTGGGCTCACGCCCCTTTTGCATACACTTGGCGAGTGGAGCAGAGTCCAGACCAACACACAAGCACAGGCAGGAGCTGGGCAGGGCCTCGAGCAAGCACCGGCCACGCCACAGAGGGGCAGGAGGGACAGAGCGACTGGGTCTCCAGCAGGTCCTGGGCCACCATGGTGGCCTGGTGCCCCTCACCTCCACGCCTTCGCGCCCCCCTCCTCTTTTCCTGCTGCCCCAAAGCCAGGCCAGTCTGTAGGCTGTGTACCCCTTTTACCCTCCTGACCTGGCCAGTGCCAGTGAGTGGCCATTCTGGCCCCACTCCCCCCACCCGAGTCGGGGCACTGCAGGCTCCTCGAAGGCAGTGCTGGGGCTCCAGGTCCCTGCCTTGCTCTGGACCAGATCTGACCAGTAGGAGCTCAGGGACAGGGGATGGCTGATGGGTGCTTAGAAGTGGACAGGGTCACCAGGGGACAAACGCCAGGTGCGTCCTGCAGCCCCTTGGCTGCCTGCTCGGCCTCCCCCTTCCTCCCTGAGGCCTGCCCTGGCCGCCACCCCTGCGGCCCCAAGTCTCCTGAAGGGTGGGGGGGCCGCGTGCTGGCGGGAGGCAGGGCACCGAGCGGGTCTGTGTGCAGTGCGTGCCGCTCGGTCCGCATGCCACATGCCTGTGTGTCTCTCGGGGCCCCAGTGCTTGGGAGTGAACCACGTCTCGCCTGTGGCCTAGGGGCGTGTCTGTGGGTTCCTGTATGTTCAGGCCCTCTTCTCTGCCAAGCTCTTGCTTCCTCTGAGGTCTAAACACCCCCCTTCTGCTTTGGCAACAGGAAGTGGACTGAGAACAAACAGCAGCTTCTGAGGAAGTCCCTGCTCACAGCCCTGGAGCCCTCCCCAAGGCCCTTGGCCGGCACCTCCCCCGCTCTCGCTTGTGGCCTGGGCTGAGTCTGCTCTGACAGCGAGGCAGACCTGAGGCCCTCGAGGCACCAGCCTCCCCACCCCCGCCACCCTGCCGGGCCACCCCAGAGGTGCCCGCTCCTCATCAGGAGGGAACCTGGGCAGGACAGGCCTCTGTGACTCAGGAACCATGCCCTCTGCACTGCAACCCCTACATGGCCCTGAGGAACCTTCTGGAAAGCTGAGCTCACCAAGGACCTCTGGGGAGTAGAAAGGCCATTAGAACCATTATGTTGAAAGGAAATCACAACTTCTGGTATGATAGACCATCATAGGCAGTGCACAACTCAGACCCTAAGCTTAAACTAAAAATAAATAAATAAATAAGAAGAAGAAAAAGATTTGTTTTGCAATTATTTTATTTACAAAAAGTTGCAAAAACAGTACAGTTCCCACACACCCTTCACCCAGTTTCCTCTAATATTGAAATTTTATATAACCATATTTCTATTATGTAAACTAAGAAATTTACATTGACACAATATTATCAGCTATTTTAAATATCTTATTCAGGTATCACCAACTGTCCCACTCAAATAGTACAGAGGCCTCAAAAAAACATGCTAAGTGTGCCAGACACAGGCCACACAGCACTGTGACTGCCGTTGCATAAAATGTCCAGAAAAGGCAAAGCAGGGGAGACCGAGAACAGGTCAGGGGCGGCCGGGACCGCAAGGGTGAGGAGTCTGACTGGGGTGCTGAAAACACCCAGCTCTCTTTTTCTTTTGCTCACTCTCGCCACCTCCCTATGAACAGCTGGCAGCCTGCTCTCCATCTATGAGTCTGTCTGTTTTGCTTGTTAATTCAATTTGTTCATTAGATTTCACATGTGAGTGAAATCATACGGTACTTGTCTTTCTCTGATTGGCTTATTTCACTCAGCATAATGCTCTCCAGGTCCATCCTTACTGTTGCAACAGGTAAAATTTCCTTCTTTTTAATGGCGTAGAATTCCACTGTGTAGATGTGCCATAGCTGTTTTACCCTCTCATCTACTGACAGACACTTGGGCTGCTTCCGTATCTTGGCGATTGTAAATAATGCTGCAATGAACAGAGGCTGCTTATGTTCTTTCAGATCAGTGTTTTGGGTTTCTTGGGATAAATTCCTGGAACTGGAATTGCTGGACCATAAGGCAGATCCATTTTTAATTTTCTGAGGTACCTCCTTACTGTTTCCCACAGTGGCTTGACCAGTGGGCCTTCCCACCAGCAGTGCACGGCGGTTGCCTTCTCTCCACAGCCTCGCCGGCACTTGTTGTTTGTTGATTTGTATGTGACGGCCATTCTGACAGGTGAGAGATGATATCTCATTGTGGTTTTAATTTGCATTTCTCTGATGATGAGTATGCTGAGCATCTTTTCACATGCCTGTGGGCCATCTGTATGTTCTATTTGAAAAGTGTCTATTCAGGTCCTTTGCCCATTTTTTAATTGGATTTTTTGTTTTGTTGGTATTGAGGGTTTTTTAAAAGATTTTATTTATGTATTTATTTTTAGAGAGAGGGGAAGGGAGGGAGAAAGAGAGGGAGAGAAACATCAATGTGTGAGAGAAACATTGATTGGTTGCCTCTTGCACACCCCTAACTGGGGACCTGGCCTGCAACCCAGGCATGAGCCCTGACTGGGAATCGAACCAGTGACCTCCTGGTTCTCAGGCTGGCGCTCAATCCACTGAACTACACCAGCCGGATCTGGTACTGAGTTTTATATGTTCTCTATAGATTTTGGATATTAACCCTTTCTCAGATATATCATTGGCAAATATGTTCTTTCATTCAGGGGGTTGTCTTTTTATTTTGTCGACAGTTTCCTTTGCTGTGAAAAACTTTTTAGTTTGATGTAGTCCCATTTGTTTATATTTTCTCTTAGGATTTTTATGGTTTTGAGTCTAACATTTAAGTCTTTAGTCCATTTTGAGTTTATTCTCATGTATGATGTGAAAAGGTGGTCTAGTTTCATTTTTTGAATGAATCTGTCCAATTTTTCCAATATTATTTACTAAGTGGAATATCTTTACCCCATTGTATGTTTTTTGCCTCCTTTGTCAAATGTCCATCAACCATAAGGTCCAGGTCTGTCCTTGGGCTCTCTGTTTCGTTCCATTGGTTTATATGTTTGCTTGTATGCCAGTGTCACGCTCTTTTGACTCCTCTGGCCTTACAGTATAGCCTCATATCAAATGATGTGATTCCTCCAATTTTGTTCTTCTTTCTCAACATTGCTCTGGCTATTCGGGGTATTTTGTGGTTCCATGTAAATTTTTGGAAGATTTGTTTTAGTTCTGTGAAATACACCACTGATATCTTGATAGGAATTGCGTTCAATCTCTAGATTACTTTGGGTAATATGGATATTGTAATGGTGTTAAATCCTATCCATGAATACGGTATATACTTCCACTTATTTGTATCTTTCTCAGTTTCTTTCTTCAGCGTCTTATAATTTTCTGAGTACAGGTCTTTAACATCCTTGGTTAAATCTGTTCCTAGATATTATATTTTTTCAAAGCAATTGTGAATGGGGTTGTCTTCTTAGTTTCCTTTCCTAATAGTTCACTATCAGTGTATAAAAATGCAGCTGATTTCTGGATATTTATTATGTATCCTGATACTTTACTGAATTCATTTATAAGTTCTAGCAGTTTTTTTATGGAATTTTAGGGTTTTCTATAAACAGTTTCATGTCATCTGCAAATAATAAAGTTTTACTTTTTTAAAATTTATTTTAGAGAAAGAGAGGAGTAGGGAGGGGGGAGAGAGGAGAGAGAGAGATCAGTTTGTTGTTCCGCCCATCTGTGCATTCATTAATTGATTCTTGTGTGTGCCCTGACCGAGGATCAAACCCACAACCTTGGCACATCAGCATGAGGCTCTGACTCCCAGAGCTACCTGGCCAGGGCTAACATTTTTATTTCTTCCTTTTCGATTTGGGT